AAAGTGGTAATATAACTTATTGTTTTAGCAAAGGGATTGCACAATTGTATTATGTATTTTTATTTTTTTTAGCACACAGAATTATGGAGCATTGTTTTATTCTCACTGTTATAGCAAAGTGATTTATTTATTTTTTTGAAAGGAATGCTCACGTTCATATTGATGTATTTTAATAAATGTTAACTTGGCCCATTACGTCACTATTTGTGTTGGGGGGGCCCGACTTTTTTTTTTCTCCAAAGGGGGGGCCTGGTCTAGACCGAGCTTGGAAAGACTGAAGTTCACAGATTCTCCACTGACTAGATTTTATCTGTGGGAAAACTGCAGTTTGACAGAAAAAACATACACATTTGCTCTTAAAACTGCGGCAAAATAAACTTGCAGGTTTATTAGGCATGCCTAAGTAAAACTAACGTAGTCTACTACAACAGTTCTGCAGTAAATACGACCAACATTAAGGTTGTAATGTTAACCCTAACCCTAAAAAATGCTTGTCAGGACTGTCTGCTTGGGATCAGATATAATGTACCAAGATAATTGTTAGTGCTTCATGGTAACAGGTCCTAAATGCCCCTTTATTTTATTATGAGACAAAAGCATGGCATCAAATATCCAGGTCTCCTCTTAAAGAGCTGTATGAGAGAAACATAACCCATCTTTTAACGATTCAATAGTTACTGTTGCTAACCCTAACCATATCCCTAACACGAAGGAGGCCAGGCACATTTGTTCACTGATTTTAAAACGTTACTAAAGCTATTAAGTGTAGCTAAAAATAAAATAAAACAGATGCCTATTCAAGACCTTGAAACATCAATAAAACCGATTTAACCACAACCTCAGAACTGGGCCAAAATGGGCTCAAATTGGTTTCTGAATTTGTAAAGTCTTCTGGAAATATGAAAAGCGATGTTAACTTCCTTGCAAAAGTCAAGATGTGAATCATCAGAGAGCATCTCCAGCTGAAAACCTGTAAACCTTACATGACTGAAACATGTAAACTGTAATTAAGAGGCGCTGAGTGAACGGCAGGAACATAGGAACTAAAGTCCTGAGGTGAAGATGAGGAAACAGGATGTGTAAAACTCATCATGTTTTTACTACTTTTTCCTGGCTCAGGTTGCATTATGGGAGCCACACAACTCGCTTCATCGCAGCAGCCCTGTTAAAGGCCCCCCAGCCATTACTCTTATCATACAGCCTTGAACACCCCCACTCATTCCATCTTCCATCATACTTTCCTAACTATCCTCCCCGAATGACCACAACCAACCAACACACATGCACCCACCCCCACCCTTACCTCCCCCCTTGTTCAGACAATCAGCCTATGAGCGGATACCAAGGAAACCTCTAGGTGATGTCATGCAGTACGGTTTCTGTTCCAACACTGACATCAGTGTGGAGAGAGCTCCTCATTCTTTCCAGAGTATGACCCAAAACGTTTGGCTCCCCTTCCGGAACCTGCTGCTCCAGTTTCCCCGCTCCTCCACATTCACCCCGTCCTGAACATCTTGTTCTTCTCATCCTCTCTGATCCAAACTCTATCATTTGCCAAATTCTCTGACAAAAACTACACTATATGACCTGCCACATTAAGGGTTGGGCAATATATTGATAATAAATCAGTATTGGGATAGGGTAAAACTACATTAGTGTTTTTTTCAGTTTTTAATGAGGACAAATTCTGCTAATTTTCAGGTTCATATTTGTATGTTGTGTCTCTACTGGGACATGTTTCCATGCTTTAATGTTCAAAAGCTCTTTATTTTTCTCATACTGCCTGTGCTGCAGCACCTCTTTTCACCCTCTGTCTGAAACCAGAGCCCAGTCTGCTCTGATTGGTTAGCTGGCCGGCTCTGTTGTGATTGGTCAACAGCTCAGAGATGTCCCACCGGCTTAGCCTATCATGTACAATGTGTTGGAGTGCTAGCCAATACAAGCGTGATCTGACTGTTCCAGCTGCCATATTACTGCTGATTATTTATCAAACACTTATGAAAAGCATCACTGGAAACCATTACAATATCGTATTCGAGCAGGATTATCGTGATTATTACCATATTTCCCAGCCCTGCCCACATTCATACTGGACTCAGATACTTGAGCTCTGCTCTGGTTGCAACAATGGAGGCCGGACAAGAAGTGCTGTGTTTGCACAGCTCCACCTCGGCAACCTCGATTCACTCCAGGTCCCCTGCGGTCCCCCCCGAGTGAGGCCAAGTGCTCCATCTGCCCCCGTTTGTGTTCCCTCAAACCAGCCACAGTCATTTATTTCACTGAATGCTACTTAGAACCGAGGGATGGGCAGTAAATTATCTCAAATTTCTCTTGGCACACTCGGGGGGGAAACAACACAGAAATCATGGGACACATTCAGCAGATGGACTGTGTAATGCACGCCATAAACTCTGAACAGCCATGAAAATACACTGGAAATACACACAAGCTTTCAACATCCACCCTACAGTCATCAAGAACACAAAATACATCAGCTGAACTTTAATAAAGATACCGGTTCTTAATGACTGATTTTAACATGCGCATTACAGTCATTATGAAGATGTAATGACTATTTGATTTGCAACAGATGAGCGTTTTACCAGGTAAAATACCTGTCGTCTTATATAATCCTCACCTTAATTACCTTCATAGTCTTTACTGGCACACGCTACAGTACTCTTATTCAAGCTACAGAGAAAAAAATGACATTATGGTACTTATAGCGGGTAGACGCTTTCTCTGTGGCCACAATAACCACGGCAGGAACCAAACCACAAACCACCTCAGCACACAGTAAGTACTACTTGCCTCCTGACTGCTGTATGTACAGAGAAGGCCCAGACTCCTGTAAGGAACTTAAGACGGAAAAACACACTATTCACATTTGATATATCAGATTAAGTGTCCCTCCTTCTTTCTTTTCTTTTAAATCCGTTTTATCACTCAAAAAGGAAAACTTGTGAGAGATCATATGAAAATGCACTATCCAAGAGTGTTTTTGGTCTATTTTTTCCCCTTTTTCATTATGTGAGATTGTAGTCTCTTGAGTCAGCTAAATGTCCTGGAGAATTTCTATATGTTTTGTTTAGTGTGTTTTCATGCTCTCCCCTTATTGGTGGTAACTGAGTCTGGCAAAAGTCAACATGGGATCTGACTAAACTACAGAGGGGAGAAGGGAGTAAGAGGAGGAAGGGAGCGCAGCCTGAGCATAATTTGGAAACTATGTGGCATATTTTCCATTTTCAGCACGCACTGGAGCCTGTCCTGTCTCCCAACTGGCAGACACACAGCAGGAGGGCTTTTAACATCTCACACTAAATATCTGTCGGTTCCCACGGTAACTATTGGACTGTTACCACAGTTCTGATGGCTGTCAGAAATGAAATCACGGCAGGATTTCCGGATAAATGCAACACATCTCATTAAAGAGTCAACATCTTCCCTAGAATGCCAACATAATCCATGCATTATAAAAGAGTGCTGCACTTCCTTTCTTCACTCATGAACCACATAACACTGTTCTGAAAGGAAACACATACAGTACAGTATATGCCGTCATTTTGTTAAATCTGGCTTTGTTTGCAGGGCTATGATTAATAGTTTTGAGAGAGAACACAAAGTGAAGTTTTAGTTTTATATCCGGTCATATATCAATCGCCCTCATGGCTTGGCGGACCAACTTTAGGGATTTGGGGGTGGTGATGTCATATTTCATGCTTTTTGTTCGTTTTCGCAGTGCAGCAGGGAGGTTAAAGGTCAGCTGGCTCAGCATCAGTCACATCAGTCAGCCTCTGTTACTAATTATTATTGAGGGCCTCAGCCTCACAGACTAATCCCCCTTTAAACAAGCACAACTCTGACGGGACAAAGACAACACTATTCCTTGTGCCTCTCTGTGTGTGTTGTGGTGTGTGTGTGTGTGTGTGTGTGTGTGTGTGTGTGTGTGTGTGTGTGTGTGTGTGTGTGTGTGTGTGTGTGTGTGTGTGTGTGTGTGTGTGTGTGTGTGTGTGTGTGTGTGTGTGTCTCATATGGGGTCATGTTAGAAAGCCATAAATATCCAATCAAAAGCTATGCAAACTAACTCTTTCTCGTACTACGTTTTTAATGTTGAGATGCACATCAGTTATCTCTGGGTATTATACACCCCGAAAGCTTCCTGTCAGATTAACATTTATCTTACGTCTCCAGCCACAAAGCACACATAAAGAAAGGGGAAAGGAAGAAGGAAAGCCCTTATTCTGATAATGAAATCCTGTCATCGCTGGCTTAATCCTCTGTAAACAAAAAATGTTGCTGGCAATTCAGTGGGAAATAAAATCTGACAGAAAACCACAAACAGAAATTAAAATGTTTCACTGAAACTGCTTTGTAGCCAAAATAACGCAAAACTTCTTACAGCAGATGCACAGTGCACACAAATGCAGCACAGTTGGAAACAAAACATGATTAAGGGACATTTTGTTTTTGTGTGGAAAATGTGGAATATGTTGCACCTTAAATTAAATATGATTTACGATTGTGTGCACGTGAATGGGTGGGAGGCAGAGTTTGGGGGATGAGGATGTGGACACTACCACAACCCCCTTTCTGTGCGCCATGAGACGCAGAACGTGGATTTGGGATGACCATCATTTGCACCACAGCCACATGTGTCTGTACTGGAGTTAGAATAAAGCATCTCATTTGCTTTATCTCATTCTCTTAATGACTTTAAATCAAATGAAGTTTGCCAGAGAATCGTCGAGAATAGACTTGTTAAGTACAGCCTTTGAAAATAGCCGATAACGAGGTGAAAAATTGCATCACTTCTCATAGTCTTAATTCAATTCAATCATCACACGTACCAAATGGACACAGTTGAGTGGTAACTAGTGTGCATCTGGTACAAATAAAACATACTCATGTTACAAACAGTTCGTAATGGTGCAATCATAGAATAAGTTATAAAGTTAAACAATGAAAACAACGTAGATTTGGAGTTAAAGTATAATGCCTACCTCAAAGACTTCTTCATCAAGTATTCTAGTTCCAAAAACTACAATTCCCTTGGTATCGATGATGGGGTGGGGGCTTCGGAGCAACTTCTGGGTGGTCTTCTTTTTACAGTCCAGAATGAGGGTGATGGTCTGCTTGTGCACACTGATGGCCACTCGATGCCATCTGAAAAGGAAAGTGAAGTTAATTCACACACTTACTGGGTTACATGCTGCCCACTCACACACTGTCAAGAGTCCCTTTTGTGTTGGACCTCTTGTTCAAATTCAAATATATCCCTTCTATTTTCTAAAGTGCAATTGAATCTCATTTCCCTTTGCTAAAGGGAGCTCTGCAGATTTTCTGCTGGCTTTGTATGGTGTATTGTGGGGGGCTTGTTCAAATGAAGGATGCTCGGCTTCTCTCAGGCACCCTGAGCTCCTGAAAGTCGTTTTGGGATGAGATTTACAGTTTCCCTTTTTAATCCCGTTTTATAGGAGAAACAAATTCTACACTGGGCCTTCAAGGAGAATATTTGAAGGCAATGCAATCAATATTAAGCATAGGGTGATAAATGTACTATTTTCCAAGTAAACACTGACAATATTGCATTTTACAAATCTGCATAAAAGGGGAAATAAGGCCAGGTGCTGCTTACAATCCTAACCAAAGTCTAAAAAATCCACATGGACTTGGACATGCTGGGTTTAATATGAATATAAAAGAGTACTGTTGTTTGATGTTCGTCAAGTCGGAGACGAGTGCACCTACTTTCCGTCAGCCAGGTTGACTCCTCTGAAGAGGGGGTAGTCCTCGGGGCTGGGTTTGCCTGTGTGGTCCTCGTACAGGAACACTGGAGAACGGCCCACCTCCAGCCCGAGCTGCTGGATGCCCTGCTCATTGTACACAGACAGCAGGAAGGACTGGCTGCCCTTCTTAGGCTTCACTGTGGCCAAGATGGAAAAGTCCTCCGGGAACACATCACCTGGCAGGAGGGACGGCGGGGTGGAAAGAAACGTTTTGGAGAGTTATAAGCAGCAGTAACTATTCATCATCATAGGCCGAATGGAATACTATGGTTGTGTTCAGGTTGTTGTAACCCCATTGTAATTTTAAGATTGTGCTCATCGTTGTCAAAAGGGAGTATGAAATGTATTAGTGTTACTCCCAATGGAAATAAATAGTACAAAAAGCAGATGATTTAGATCTGGAAGATGTGCTTTGAGCACTGTAAGGGAACACAAGCGATTTGTGGACCGTCCAAAATGTAACAGGATTAATCTGAACTGGATGGCTGGCAGGCTACAGGCTGGTCAGAGGATAGAAAAACAAAAGTTAGACGCAGAAGAGAAGGAGTGGAGCCTTTCCAGCACAGGATGAGAAGCATAATGACAAAAGCATGTGATCCTGGGAGACGGTCGAACTATCCTTCAAACCCCTCCTCCCGCCTCCCTCTTCTCCTACAGCTGATCGATCTAACAGATACTGAGGAGCTTCAGCAAAGTTTGGGAGGAGAGTAAATAGTAGTACAAAATGTACAGGAAAAAGCGATTTAGGCAAAATGTATGGGAATGGAAATAGCAATGGTAATTTGGTAATGAATCGCATACAAGTTGCAGAAAGACACATGAGAAGGACATGTTTTCGTCCATATGCATGTCTCCCCTGCACAGCCTCAACCATTTCCTCCATTTTGCTAATGTGTTGGGCACATCTGCCAGACATATTCCCTTAGTGGGGTGTTCTCAGCGCCTCAGAAAGAGGGCGGTCGCTTCCAACCACCCGAGGAGACTGTTGCTCGCTAACGTTGAGGACAGACTTCACTTGAAGCAAACAGAGCTTTCTGATCTTTAACTTTGGAAAAAAAACGGAGGCAATCTGGCTATTAACTCCACTTTAGTTAAGAGAAACCAACTATCTGGATTATATTGAACAAATCCAAAGGAACCACTGTGATTCACAGAAGCAGATCTTAGCCGTGCAGAGCAGAGATTTCTAGACGGCCGGAAAAGAGAGGCAGGGTTTTGTGGCGTTGGTGGTTTTGTAGCACCTCATGCAGCCATCAAACCCCATTACCCTGTCGCCGTTTACAGAATAATAGGAGACAGACTGGAAAATGTTAAATTGGAATAACTAGCCAGTCAGAGGATGAGGAGAAAAATACATGGTGGAAACGTGAAGTGAGGAAAAAGGAAATTCATTTTGGCTCCATCATCTGCTCATTCGTTCTCATTGTCTTTGACTCAGTCAGCATCTGTCTGCTTGCCTTCCTGTCTCTAATACCACCATTTCCATTACACTGCCTTCTCTTCCTGACTTTTTTGTTAGGATTCCTTCTTTAATGTCGGGCATCAAATCACATCATGCGGAGAGCACATGCCTTGGCAGTGTGCTCCCTCAGGAATTCAGCTTGGCATCATATGAGAAAGATTACTTTAATTGACAGATGCTTCGACAGGATGGAGTAAGGCAGACATCAAGGGAGGGAGACCACAATAAAAAGAAGATCAGAGACGGACAACCCTTCAAAAGCGGTGATGGAGGAGTTTGAAGACGGATGCCCGAAGTCATAAAAAAGCAGAATATTCTTAATTTGAAATGCAGAAAAAGGACAGTGGGAATAAAGAAACTAGTTTGTCGCCTATTTCCTGTTGCATTAGCAAATGTCTGTCGGAGCCAATGACTCAGCGCTGGCTCAGGACAGGCTGTTTGTGGAGGTCAAGGGTCAGCTGGGGGCGAAAGGGACACCATTGGACAGAGGGAGTCGGGGGAGGAATGAGAGAAGAGCGACTAATTGGGGGACACAACTTTATTGTATCTGCCAAAGATGACATGTTTTCCGCTCAGTTTGTTTATCTCTTGTTTTTTTCTGGTTTGTTTGCCCGTCTGGGCCAAGGAAGAAAACATCAAATGCTGTATCCAATTAACCAGGCGGATACAAGGAATGATGTTTCGGCTTTTTTGATTTGTTTTGGTAAACATCATTGTCTGTGAATTGAATTAAAGTTGTATTTACACAGCAGGGTTTCTCATTTGTGGATTCATGATGTCCTGGCATCCCTGCCTTCACCAGGAAGACTGAGATTCCCAAACATAACCTCCACCTGAGAAGAGGAGGCTTAAAGAAGGGGGTTTAAAAAAAAAAAAGAGGATGAGAAGAGAGAGATAATCCTGTCTAGTGTCTGTGACCCTTCCTCTTTACTCTCTCCTCAGGACCTCATGGAAAAGTGGGCTGGGGGGGGGGGGAGTTGGAAAAAGCTCGGGTTTCTCTGGAATGTGTCTCTCAACCAGGCCAGATGAGAGATACTTCATTCCTCATTGAGTGTGTGTATGTGTTAGTGGGAATGGAGAGGCTGTGGTGCCAGAAGTCCTGAGAGTTTACCCTGGCAGCACCATCATCATCATCATCATCATCAGTGTCGGACTTAAAAGGCCTGGGAAAGAACACAAGCCCAGACATCTCGACCCGATCAGGCATGACCCCGCAATTTCCTCCAGATTAAGTAACCAATTAAAGTTGTGTTTTATTTTGATAAAGTGGCTAAATTCTGATACGGCTAGCTTCTATTTCCGTTGGACTTTTTTTGGAGGAAGAACTCAAGCTGAAGCATTGATGGAGAGTTAGATTTGTACAGGTTAAATGAGACAAAGGGAGTGGTTTTCCTGATTTCACACTGGAGGCCTCTGACATCTAAATGATTCTTCTTAATTTATCAAACTTGACATCATCTCTAAAAACGCCTGAAACGTCAGGGAGGGGCAGCACTACAGCTGATCCTCTCCCCCATCTGTCAGTGTGCATACAGGCAGGTAAATGGGGTAGAAAGTTGTGTGTCCTGTAATTGGTCATTCAGTCATCGCTGTGTCCAAATCTCTCCTTCTGTATGGAGACGCAGCATTCCAGTGGGATTGCACATTGCTGCAGAGACGACAAGTGGACCTGTTTGCGTGCGAAAAAAGGGAGAAACGTGGACAAAGAGAGAGGAAGATGGATGTTTGGGACCTGCATGAACGTGCGTGGTTGAAAGGTAGATCTCAAGTTTAAGGCCAAAATACCTAAAGGTAAACTCAACATCTTCGTTCTATTGAGGTTATCGAATGAAGCTCAACATGTTTGATGACGTCATTACCTCTTTTTTTACGAGTGCATAACACTACAGTATTATCCAAAGCAAACTACTGGGATATGCATTGGCTACAATAACTAAAACATTGATTGGTTATCTGGCTTAGGCAACATTTTCTTTATCATGCATCTTCCCCATCTAAATGTCATTCAGAATCCCATCATTGTAAACATATTCTTATAATTGTGTCTTCTGTAATTAAAAACTGAATTTCTAATTATATGCATGTCATTTTTCTGGGTTTTGTGGAACATCTCTTAAATAGAAAGCCAAATTTAGGCCAGGTTTTCAATGAGTTTCTACGAAATCAAAGACAGGCACCAATATTGCTTTTACAGCGTGTGCCAGGCCATTTGAACCTCACTGTAGGCGGCAGCAGAGTGCCCTCACTGAGGGTCCGCTGCCATCCAACCATAGCGGTCCAAACCACAAGTCTGAATGCCAAGTGACAGCAAACCCCATTCAGGGAAAATATAAAAACCACTGCATACAACCACTTATCTGTGTGTACTAATTATGACATGAATAAAAACGTTCCTGTTTGAATTTTCAAAGCTAGAATAGATTTTGTTTATGGTAAAGTACTTGTGATTTATCATAGATATATATACAGTGGGCTTTTCTAGAAGAGAACCGTCTATTGAGACGTGGGAAGTGAGTGTTATGAAGTTAGTGAGGGCCAGAGATGGGGTCGTTACTAAAAAAAAGTAATATATTGCATATTACATATTACTTTAAAAAAAAAGTAATATATTACACTACTTCGTTACTGTCTACATAAAGTAACTCGTTACTTTACTCGTTACTTTACTCGCAGGGCCGGCCCGCCCCTCCCTACAGGCAGATCAGGCAGACTGCGGCGCACCTACAGTTTAAGCGCGCCACAGTTTTGCCTCTGCGAGACTCCACTTGCACCCCCAATTACTATTGCATTAAGGAAGACATAACACAAGTCTTTCTTTTGCTCTTTAATAAAATAGGCTACCAGCCTACCACAACAAGCTAACAGTCTGTGAAACGTAAAGACACTAATTAATGAAACCAGTTCAAGACGCATTATTCTTAATCTTATCATTCTTTATGAGCGCAGTAACGGTAAGGTATCTAATTACTTATTTATTTAGTTTCCCATAACTTAGTAACAGAGATGGTCAAACTAAAGTGGTAGAGACATGGCAGAATTCCTACAATGAAGCGGGACATTGAACTGTTCACCCGTGAGAGGGCAATCAAGAAAAGAGAGCGAGCGGCCCCGTTGAGGAAGTTTACAGATGAAAAGACGTTTATGCAGCACTGCACGTGGAGATGTGGACGGGCAAATCGCGCAGATTACGTAGGCCTGCATGTATCCAAACCTGCGGCGGCGGAAACCCCTCTTGTCTGTCAGTGAGTGTGATTATTTTATAAAAGTAACGAAGTAACGCGAGTCGGGGCAATGTTAGTAACTGTAGTGTGATTACTGAATTATAAAAGTAACGCGTTACAGTACTCCGTTACCGACAAAAGTAATATTATTACAGTAACGCGTTACACCCAACTCTGGTGAGGGCCGACGGCTTCATTTCCTCACTTCTCCTTCACATCGTAAAGGTAAGAAAGGACTCCTCTGTGTTCAGTGCCTCAGTGGTTTGAAATGAATCATCCCTTCCACATGCTTGCCTAATGATTGCATGTCTGCACTTGCTCTTTTCCAACACATCATCACAGACCGTCTGTGGTTACGGGGGTCACGGGCCTGTGTGTTCTCAAATCAGAGCTACTGTGGCTTTTATTACCGACATTATAGCCATAACAAAAAAAGCACGTTTGCATTCTTTTGTTTTCTATATGTGGCATGTGTCTAACCTTTAGGAGGCAGGATGCTGGGATGATCATTTAGGCGAATTATACCTCCAGGCTCCGGGCCAAAGTCATAACTCAGTGCAAAGTTAAGAGGGGAAAAACAGATGGATAAAATGAGCTCACAAGTTTTGCTGCCCTCTGGAACATATTAGCCAACATTTTCTTAATGTTGAGGCGATGGAGGGATATTACAAGTAGATTTTTTTCGCTGTTATTCTGTTTGCACTGAAGACTTTGTGGTGCCTGCTGAACTCCTCATCTTAGCTTTGTTTTCTGCAGACTGTTATTTCAGATGATCCAGAGTAGCATGAGTGTAATTACAGCGTGTGTATCTAAACAGAGGCTCAATATGGGCTCTGCTGTTCCACGCTTCAAAGTGAGCAGCATTTGTTTGATTGGAGAGCATGATAGGACACGCAGGCCACATGAGCTCCGTGGCTCTATTTTAAGCCATAAAGAAGAGCCATGGCACGGATCAAAGTTCCTCTGAGGCCAACGCAGCATCCCCAAAGACTTTGTGGGAGATTAGCTCACAGGAAGGTTATTATGTCCTCTTCTTTTCTGCACCAAAACCACATCACTGCTCCTTTATTTGATTTCTTTATGCTGCAGGAAAACCAATCATTTCAGAAGTTGGTTGTCTGGGGTTGGGGAATTATGGTTTTGAATTGAAAGAAAAGCAAACATAAAATGGAGCCTCGTCAGACAAAAGGGAGAAAAACAGTTCGAGGAGAAATGATAGAGTGAAAAATGAAGGCGCTGAGAGAAAATAAAGAGAGGAGCAGAAGAGGGAGGAGAGAGAGGAACGTTCTTCTGCTGCTCCATAAAGCAGAAACCCAGAGCCACGTCAGCACAATAGAACGAGGCAAAAGTGGAACCCTAGACTTCCCTCCCCTCTACCACCCCTCTTTTCACTGCTTTTCCATCAGCTCCTCCTTCAGCACCAAATATTACAGGGCTGGATTTCTCCTGCATCTGGTGCACATTTTCAAGGGGGGAATTATAGCGCATTATCTTTATCCATCCCTAAATTATGTTCAAATTTGAATGTGTGGAACTGGATTACGTTATTTACCAGAATTGTGCAGATGGTTTCCAGTAAAAGATACAGTTTTTAAAAAAGCACGTTGACAGCGGACTACAACATTTAAAAGCAAACCTAGCCTTCCCATAAAGGAAGGCTAGGTTCACCAGTGATGATTGGAGAAGTAGCACAACAATGATTTGAGATGGTTGGATTGAAAAAGAAATGCTTTTAGAAACATAACAATATATTAGTATTCATTCTTCGATTTGTGTCGGACACTTACCTGGATACAGCTGTTGGGTGGGGGCGCTCAGCTGGGCGTCTTTGGAGACTCTGTAGGCGACATCGGGTCCTTGTGTTGACCTCCGATGTGAGCAGAGACCCGTTGTTTTTAGAACACCCTCGGGTAAACTGTGAAAATCTAAAATCTTCAAGAGGTCTGCTGGTTCCACTGCAAAGAGGAGAAAGAGACAAAAAGGTTCTTAGATTTGCCATTGGGTTATCATAACACATTCCATAGCACACATTTCTAGATGTTCGGTCCATATACGTAGAAAATAATGTTGTACAAAAATATAATTAGACAGCTTTGTTTATCAAACAAGCCTTGATAATGATAATTTCCTCTATTATCGGTCTTTTGCTGACTCATAAGAATGCTCACTCAGCAGGAGAGCTCACTGTTGTGGTCCAGAAAGATTTGAGTTATCCATTTTGACACTAAACAGAGATGTGCCCATTTCTAGGTCACCATGATCACGGGTTGCAGCGGCAGCAAAACCCATCTTTCATCCATGGCTAAATCCACCGCTGCCTCCCTTTGGCCACAAGCGTGCAATTAGCACACTTTCAGGCCGGGCGTCCCGACTGAGACCGGGCCACCGCAGGACTACACTGGGTCAGAACAATGTGAAATGGGATTCGACCCTAGGACCGCACCCGCGCATGCCAAAACCACCCAGGACAAACAGCTGTTTCTGCAGCCAGACGCGCACACAACAAGCTTCACGTAACACACTGTAGCATCGAGCCTTGTCCCAGAGAGCTGCGCAGAAAAGGACCCTGGGTCAGTTCTATAGGGACGTTGACATAGGGGACTGTCAGGGGTCTTTTAAAGGAGGGCAAACACTAAAGTGAGGAAGCAGACACAACAGCAGGATTTTATGGCACGTAAGTTTAGAGTAAAAAACAAAGGTAAGTAGGCTGTGGAATTCTGCTGGATGGTCAAAGACAACCCCGTAGCAAGTCAAAAGGGACAGGTACAGAAGTACCAGTGTCAGGCTACAAAGACCACACACACCGTTCAGAAGAGAGAGAAAAACGTTCAATAGCCCCATCCATCTGAGAGTGAAAGGGATGCTGGGAAAAAGTGCAAAGGCGAATAGGCAGAGTGTTTGTACATTCTGTCTTACCCTGCAACAACCTCCAGCTGGATGTCATTACACATCACGTGCAGCGCAGATCAATTAAAAAAAAAAGTGGACATTCTTTAACAGAGTCTCCATTTAAGAGCTCTCAGGCTGCACGTGTTCCCCCACAGCTGTACAGCGATGCTGGAGAAAAGACTTCCTCGACAGTTGGAGTCTGATTGCATGTTGCTTGGATTATTTAATCATCAACAAGACAAATACCCAAGTAAAAGAAGTCCACTGAGTCCAGACCAGGACCAAGAGTTAGTCAAAAATGATCCAAATTCTTTCATATACAAAACACAAATCTCTTTAGTTTGCATTGACATTAGTCATGGAGTAAATTGTTTCAACATTACTCAACAAATGGCAATATGGTGTAGTCTATCGCAATTTGCTAAAAGCTTAATAGGTGTCAAAATATCATTTTTCATAATTTATGGTATTTCTGCAGAGATGTCCGAGCCTCCAAATCGTATTTTGGGACCAAATAAAAAAGCTTTGTTTGCTAGATATCGTCACATAAAAAAAATCTAAACCACTCAGTTCTAATACAAACACACTTAACAACAGTTTATATCAGTTTATACACACACTATACACAGTGTGTGTAAGGCGTTTTGAGGAGAAAGTGTTTGATTTTGGTCAGATAAATGATGTGTTGGGTGATTTCCCAATCAGGATGTTCTCATCTCTTCTCACTCTTTCTATCTCTCTGCTTACCCAGCCCACACTTCCTGTCTTGGAGGGAGTCTATTATCAAATCAGAGCTCTGTAATTCTCTTTCTGCACGTGGGAAATATTTCTGGGGACAAATCAGGCAGAGGCTCACTCCTCTGGGTAAAATAATATGAAATCAAGCATCACGCCCATCGGCTTCTAAATCCAACTAATCCAGCATTAAAGCAAAACCCTATATTTATGTTTCTGGGAGTGCATACCACAGGATGACTGAAAGGTGAGGGTCCAAACAAAAAGACAGCTTTGCCTGTCATCGAGTCCTAATGAAGAGACAGACAGAAACCCCCCCCCAGCCAGAAAATGTCTATCATTCACCAACAGGGTGATGAAGGACGTTCATTTAATGAGCTCGTCTCTGAGCTCAGCAACAGTGTAATAATATGGAGGACTGTCCAAGGGATGGGAAATGTAGTCCTGTTACTAATGCTTGACATGTCAATCAGAAATGTCGTCTACATGAAAAAATCTGATGCACATGATGCAAATCTCTGTAGAGTATGCCATATTGGTCGCCGTTCAAGGGGCTGAATGCCCTTTAAGCTTTGGAAAAAAGAATCCTTTGTAAGGTTGAGTAAAAAGTTGAGACAACTACATGTCTTAGAAAAGTATAGTCTTGTATTTTTCATGAATTTAGGGTTTTCTTTTCAAATAAAAAACTGCAAAATCTCCTCTCTTGACCACAGTCCAGAAATAACATTTAGCATGTATCAGACACATGTCATGAAGAGATTTTAACAATAACATATCTAGCTAAAGCTTCCATACATTTAGAACCAATTTTAATTGAGACAGACAGAGTGGATTATGGTTTCTTAGCCACTAATATATTGTCAGAGAAGTGCCTCGTAAACTGGCACATACAGCGTTTTAATGTTATACCATTTTAACAAGAACCTTGTTTGCCCTTTTCTCAGACAGCCACAAATGGTCCCTATAAAAGCTACAACAGTCTGCTTCAACACATCAGAAGTTCCCTCTGACCTGCCAACATCCTACAGCGCATTATTCCCATGGGAAATTCATTAATTGTTCATTGACGGGTGCACGGACGCAGTCCATATAAGGCATGGAAAAAACGTAATTGTCCAACGAATCAGCACAGCGACCATCGTGTAGAAGATGGAGCCTACATGTCACATTAAACCCGAGCCACAGTTTAAAAGTCTGCAGCGGTGAAGACTGAAACATAAGATCAGTCTTTGATTCTCAGACTGTTAGAGCCTCCCGTCTCAGTCTCCTCTTAACTCATGAAGTCTCTTCCTACCAACACACTCTCCCATCTCCTTAAATGGACACCACACAGTCCTGCTGCTGGAGACTCTGCTGGTGACAGCTACAAACACTTTACTCATATACTTATATTTCTCATGTGGTTAGTGAGAGTACTACTATATCATCCTGCCCACATGACAACACAATAGTTATCATGGGTGATTATAATTATCTTCTTACTTTTAAGCTTTTTCTGTAAAAAATCTGTATTAACGCTTAAGTTAAGTGAGTTTAAAAAAGTCTGAAATTAAAGCAATTTACTTTAAATTAGAAACTTCATTATGTTTTGAAAGTCTATTAACACATTTGGACATTAATACCCCATAAAGAATCGCTTAAAAATCTTCAATTTGAAAAAAGAGATTTATCGCATTAAACGAGTCTTTTGTATTATATCAACTTTAATTATTTGAACTTGTCAGTGCGTGTCATGCTTTGAATTTAAATGGCTGAACCCCAACCAAAATGAATTAAAGTAAAATATGTTATTCTCTTAAACCATGTACATTTAGATATTTTGGAGTTGCTGGAAAAATTTGGTTCAATCCATCCAGCCATCACGTAATGACAAATAGTATAATACTCATAATAATATTAGGGAAGCATCACTTTTATCTGCAAATTTGCAGGAATAGCAAGTTTACACAGAATGAAACTACATGAAATAAAACCACTCTGAACAAACCCAGTCCACACACAAATGAACACCAGAAGTAGCTGAAGGCAAACACCGGTTAGATGTTTCCAACAAGCAACAAACATGTGAGTATACTTTACAGATCAAACACACAATCAATGATAATGGATTCAAATAAGTTCCTTTGGGCAACAGCATCAAACGCTCATGTCATATTAACAATACCGGCTTCATAATAAGAGCCAGCTCAGCACCACGGGGAGAGGTGGAAACAGGGGGAGTCTAAGGAGCATCCAGTCGATGCTAACCGTGTCACGACCCCTGCTGAGGAGTGTTGCTTTTGCTAATCCACACTGACACAAACTAATCCCATGAGGATCAGCAGCTTCTGGGAAGGAAACAATTGTCATCGGGATGCCCCTCGTTCCACCCCTTTACCTCCATCAATCAGCCTGTTTTATCGTTAACATTTCCACTTTCTCATTTCCATTTTCCAATTTCCTTTTCCCTTATGTGGGATCTGTTCAATTCATCTGTTTATTCGAGTTTCCACGTCCCTGATGGATCTAAAAGCGACCACAGGGCCTCTTCTGGGTCACCTGGAGGTGAGCCAGGTGGAGAGGGCCTATTAGCAGCTTACAGGAAGAGAGGAGGAAGGTGAAAGGATAGCATAATATAGCTCGGTCCAGAAGCCAACTGGACCATAATAGACCAATAGAAAACCCATCTGAGAACAGCAAATGTCCTATCCAATAAAACGATGCCTCACCTGATGCAAAGGGACATTTTCTCAGTGAGAAATGAAGGTAAGATTAAACTAAAACATCATGAGCTCTATTTCCCGTATCCTTACACACCTTCATTCATGGACTTCTATCACCGGTAGTCGACCTGCCAGAGGAAGTTTTCCCGACCACATCCTAAGCCGCAGGTATGGCTCTCAGTCCCACCTTGTTAAGCTGAGATGTTTACCCACTTAGCGAAAGGTCCCTCAAGAGACCAGCACCTCTGCCGCTAGATGCTAAAAATACTTTTCCCTGTGACCACAGCCCCTCAGGTACACAGAAAGTGTTTATATGACACGGTCTTGTGTACATTCGCTCTTGGCGGTCCCTCTTCTGATGCTTTAAACACTTTCATGCAATGAGGAAAAAAGCAATACTGCAAAATACAATGCATCCTTTAGGCCTTAGTGGTGATAAAAAGTGTTGCATGTGTAAATAATGCATGTCTGTGGGTTAGGGTTAGGGTTAGGGTTAGGGTTACTTGTCTGACTAAGCCACAGGGCCTCTGCTGCGTATACAAAATATATCACACATCATAAAGGAGTATTTCAAAAAAGGAGAGCTTATCTATTCCTTAAATGTAACTGTGGCTAATAACTCAAAGGAA